TCGAACGCCTCGGCGGGCCTCGTTGGGATATTCTTACCTTTCCATTACCGCCCACACGCAATTTCGCAGCTGAAACAGGACGGGGGAATAATGTTTCGCAGATTCGCGACTAGAAATAATCGGGATCGATCTTGAATCGCGGGAAGTAAGTACACAGATATGTGACGGGATCGGAATGCTCCCGTGCGCGCCAGCCAGAGACCAACCGAGAGAGAGAGAGAGAGAGAGAGAGAGAGAGAGAGAGCGCCTGTTCGAACGATTCCGCGCGCGCGGCTTTAAATACGCTCCGAGCGGCGTGGGCCATGCAATGTGTCTCTCTGGTGCTTCGAAACGATCGGAAAAGAACATTTTTGTTAGGTAAAATTCAGCATGACGAATTGTTCTTTTTAAGTAATTTCATTTGGAACTGTTGAACAAGAATATTTTTGTCAGTTAAAATTGAACACTTCGAGTGCTTTTTTTATGCTTTGCTACGGAACCGTTGAAAGAAAACATTTTTGTGAGGTGAAATGTAACACTGCGGGTTACTATTTAAATGATTTAATTTGAAACCGCCGAAAAAGAACATTTTTGTTAAGGAAAATTCAGTATTTCCGGTCCTTCTTGTCGTCATCGTTATTCCATTTGTAAAATTCAAAATAATAAAAAGTTTTAAAAACGATATTCAGGTTTTCTTCTTATTTTCAAGTTACTAAAACCTTTAACGGGCCAAACAAAATTTTCTTTGCGATAAAATTCTATATTTGCACAGACATCCGCAAGTCTAATAATCAGTGACACAAATTTCTACCTTTTTTCTTTTTTTGACGAGTCGACATAAAATTTCCAATAACGAACAAAACTCGTTGAACTCGATATTATTGTACCGGGCGACATCGAACCAGTTCGCATTTTTCCATTATCGTACGCGTCGCCGGAATTTTTTTTTCGGTTTATTAATCCGATCACGAATACGCGTCGTCGCGCCTTTCACTACGTCGAAACGACGATTTTGTCGCGGAATCGATTTCGCTAATTAAAAAGCCGGTATTGTGTTCGCAGCTGTTAAATATCGCGTCGGTTCCAGCACCGATGTATTTTTGTAAGTAGCCAAGCGTACGTGTCGCTGGAGAACAAAAAAAAAAAAGTGACAGAGGAGAAAAAAGAAATTGAACGAAATTATTTTTTTTCCAAGCACAAAACTCTACGCAAGACCAATAAACACACGGTTGGAAACGTTTACGTCGGATAATAGTTTTACAAGTGCGTAAACGGTACGAAACGTTCGGCGAAACAGGAAGGCCCTGGTCTTGAAGCATCGAGATTCAGACCTATTATCGATCAAATGATTCTACGGAATGATAATTAACACTTTGATGTCGGATTAGGTAGTAGTACGTCTTTTTAAAAACAAAATCGAACGCAGTTGACGTAACAAGACGTTAATAAAAAGAATAAAATAAATATAGGGTACAAAACGATCCTTCGTATTTCATATATCGATTAAAAAATTACTATTTAACACTGATTAATATATACATCATCGATTCCGAGATATTTAACCAAATTCGTTGAATTATTTATCGAGGGTTAAAAACGAAGACAAAAGATTTCGTGTGATTCATTACGTTTATTTTCGTAAGTTATCGCATTCGCACGACGATCCTACGGTAATAGGTAATATCGTTAATAATTAATCGGTAATACCAATACGTTTTTTGTATACATATATATATCTGTCCTATTTATACATATATAGCATCATCTATACAATCTATAACTATTTATATATATATATATATATATATATATATATATATTTATATTCTTTTTTTTAATAATATACACGCAGAGATCTATCTACGATACGATTCCGACTCGATCGTTTCTATTTATTCACATGATCCGTTATCAAATAAATATAATAATAATTATCGCAGCACTCGTCGAGAACGTCGCGAGGAATGACGTCACGAATAAATGCACAAGGACGAGACTCCGCGATCCTTGGAACACGATCACTTTCTTTTTTTTTCTTCTTTTACACACTTTTCGCGGTTTCGTCACGTCCTTATTATTCACCCCATTGAACTTTCAGAACTTCAAACGTCGTTTTTTGTTCCTTGTCGAGGAAGCATTCTCGACGCACCTTGTTAAAGTGTGAATTATTATCGATCATTAAACTCTCGAGTTCCTATGGCCGGGTCACCGGCGACCCCGTCGATGAACAAAACCAACGAACTTTGTTTACACAGCAAACGAAACAAATATTTGTTATTTCTGTGTATACACGTTTCTATGTAATCTCGTTTAAAAGAAATAAACGCCCACACAGTTTCACATGATCAAAAGTTACCTTAAAGAATCGAGAAATAACGTTCAGGAAAAACCTGTTTTTTGGTCGCATAAAAAGTGTCGTATGTCAATTGATTAAAAACGAAAATTGTAGACGATAGTTTTCAGAAGATTTTTCGTTTTTATCGAGAGGATCGTCTCTAAAAATTCGGCAGAATAACGTAATTAATAATTTTCGTCTCGTCGATGAATTTCGCGACAGTTTGTACAGTTGCGCCCGATTGACGGATATATATCCACACGTCATTCCATAAGAAAATGGAATTCCGAATCCAAACGAATTATGGTAGGTCAGGGGTGGACCGCCTTTGTTTGCTCAGTTGACGACGATCGTATCATTGATATTCACGGTTGTTTTCACGGCTCATCTCGCTTCCGATTCATTAACGACCGACTGCGGCCGAGATAAGAGCGATCGGGCCCCCCTGTCGAGACGTTTAACCTTCGTATTGTGCTCGATTTAATATAATCCGTAAGAAATATACAAGCTTTCGTAGCTTTTTTCGGAAACCTTGAAATATATTTTATACGACTTCTTTTTGTACTGGGTGTTCCGCGATAAAACAGACGAATTTCTTCGGCATGGCAGTAAAAGACGAGCAAATACGTGGTTTAGATAGTCAATTTGGACTAATGAATGGAAAATAGAATACTTACTGATTAAACTAACCTGTTTATTAATCGAATAATATGTTTTTAATGCTAGAAGATTTATGGATCAATTTTTTAGTTTATTTATAAGTCACTGCAGACACATATGCTCTTACTTTAATCTGTTGATTGAGTAATTTGATTTTGCCATTGGCGCTACTCTAAACCTTCCAATGTTTCCCATCTATTCGTTCAATCAATATCCTTATCATTTCTTTATATCATAATATTAACTCCAAATCATAACATTACCAAAAGCGTCAATCCACTTCTTTATTCACCATTAATGCTGAAAAACTTGATCACTTTGACCACGGAACACCCTCTACATGACAACACACCCACAGATTAACATTATTTCCCTAATTTCTTTCCAATTCCATCACAGATTCACGAATAGACTATACACACAAACGAATCTTCACACGAACCACAGGCTTCTACATATGAACACAATACTAATGAGACTTCAAACTGCGCTCACGATTCGCGTCGAAAAGTTCCTGTTGAAAATTCACTATGAAACTTCAGCCATTAAATAACTAAACGACGGTAACGCCATTTACGGCGAGTTTCTCAAGAACGACGAGTAGTTGATGTTCAATTATGAAAGTTCTCGTTTGAACCACAGAAGGAAAGAAAAACGCTGTTTTTAAAAGAAAACGTTTAGGAAAAAAATGTGCCAATTATCAATTTGTCCTTTTCGTTCCGTGATTCGAGGAACGTTGGAAGATTCGGAAACGTTCCGAGGGCGACGGCCAGTTTTCGAGGTTTCTTGTCAATCCACGGATCCCTCGGCCGAACACACAAATACGCGTGTATTCTGGAGATTTTTTGTCTCTGTCCGAACAGAGGACGACACGTGTTCCACTGATCGCGATAACGATTTTAAAAGCTGCGTCGAGCTCGTGCCAGACTTCGAGAAGATTCGTTTTTTCTTCGATGGTCTCTTAAGGTCCATTTACACTACGGCGGGTTGAGCACAAGACTAACCTGTGACGTGCACAAGACGAATCTGCGACGAACTCAGGACCACTGTAGTAGAATAATCTAAGCTGATCACGTTTCGTGGTCCACCCTGTATATTAGTAAAAAAAACGTTCTGTCTCAAATAAACGACTGCCTCAATTAACCAGTGACCCAAATAAACGGAGCAGATTTCGATACGATTTTCGAGTGAAATTATTCGAAAGTAACTTATACAAACAAACGATTATTGTACTTTTTGATTTATATCTCTGTACACGATGTTTTCAACACTGTTAACCCTTTTAGTACCTTAGAGCCGATATATCGGCTTTGTGAGTTTCCCGACCGATACCTTGAACCGATATATCGGCTTTCTATTTTTAATACACTTCAAAATATACGCGATGACACTTTATTTTTATAAAATAAGTTTATATTGTGGAGCATACGTTTACTGGATAGGAGTAATAAAATAAAATAAAATAAATCTTCATTTTCAAGAGAAATATGTTAACGTTAATAGATACCTCGAACATTGCACATTTTTCAAGGTATTTTTGGACGGTACCTACCCGGAAATGTTGTAAGGTACTATAATGGTTAACGCGTACATCGAACTTCGTGTGTATTTTGAATTCGTTCGCTCAATCGATTCAGGCAAAAAGTGTTACCTTCGACATAGAATAATTGTAGAATGTGCCGGTCGCTAGTAGATTTTTTTACTATTTGTTAACATCCACTGCTCTGCGCCTACAAACGGGTTCTAAATACACATTCGCGGCTCTTCGTTACCGTGAACACACAACTATCTACAGTTATTTATCACGTGGCTCGAACTGTTTTTCTTTCTTTTACGGGGATCTACTTCCGCAATATTTCATCGTTCTAGGACTTATCTAGTTCCACTCTTTGGCGAGTTCATCCGTGGTGGGTATCCACTCTTGCTTCACGTAAACCAGGCTGCTGGGGTCGTACTGGTCGACGTGATGGTGGTGGTGGTGTTGCTCTTCAAGGCCCCGATGATGAGGCCTTGAATTTCGGTATTCTCAGTATTTGTGCAACGTGATTGGTAAATTGCCGCTGGTGTTTACGGTGTTGCAGTCTTGGTAATATCTGTGGTAGAGAGGCGGGGATGGGGCAGCGCTCGTCGAGAGTGGAGTGGGCGGGCTGGATCTGAAAATCACAGTAATTAATGGAATTAGTTCTAAAAATCGTATCATTTTTCTCTTCTCTTAACTCTTTTCTTAAAAGGTTAAACGAGACTTTGTGTACAGTGTAATAATTACTATAAAGGCTACTGAACTCGTACTAAAATTCAGTATAAGTACTGAAAACAGTTCATCAAAGAACACTTCAGGGTCTAACTTTATTTGGGACCTGACAGAATCCTTAGTAAGATAAACAAATTTTTGTTCGATACCAACTTCTGTAAATTGACTAGTAATAGTACGTCTTTGTAACAGAATAGAGTTATACAGATACCTTTACAAACAACACCAACCCCTTCAATGTGAACTCTCTATTTTTATGTATCTAATGTAACTACCGAAGATGGGCAAATTCATTATCTAGATAAAGAGTTTCGAATAACGAATAAAAGATAAAAAAAATTACTTCGTTATTTTCAATCGTTTCAACGTGAAGATTCAAATTTCAAAAATAAAATTAATTCTTCGAGTCGACATTTGGCAGACTATTATTTGATTTCGTTAATCGTAAAAATTGTGACCAACTCTGGTAACTACTCCATCCTTCAAAATAATTTAACCTCTTCAGGGACGAATTTATTAAGACCAGAAATAATATTTTCTTTATCCTTCAGCTGTATTTAACTAAACTGTATTTATAAATATTAACGACAATCAATCGGTGTACTGACGTACGAACTCTGTTACTGAAATTTATGCCAAATTAACATTCGATTTAACATTTATTTCCGTACTTGGAATAAATTTACCAAATGGCAGGAGACTTTTCTTCTACGCCGCTTTTTCCCCAAGTGGAAGAAGGGCCTTCTAGCATATGATAAATTTATTTCAAGTACATAAATTTGAGTAATTCCCGATACCAACTGTTAAAAGGTCCTTCCCCTACGCCACTTTTTTCCCCAGTAGAATCCGAGTTTGCTCGCGAGTGTACAATATCCTTTTTTATTGGGCACCTTCCTAATCAGTATTTAATTAGAGTTTGGCAATGACGCTTTGATAAAAAAAAAAACAAACTAAACGTACACATACGTGCAGCTATCCCTCAAGAGGATAACTTCCTTAAAAAAATGTTTCCGGTTACTCCATGTAACGGGTCAGCGCCGACCAGTTAAACGAGCGTATACACAATGTTTCTTCTTACCTGTAAAGCTGACAGCTCGGCGATTGGGTGTCCTGATAAATAGCCGCTGCGTCGGGGCTGGCCGCCTCCTGGTACCATTGCGAGTGCGTGACCGCGGTGTTGTTGTGATTTCTCGTGTTGTACTCCGCGTGATCCATTATGTAACCGGCGGCGGGCGTGCAGTAAGGCGCGTACATGGTGCCGGGCGGGGAACCGTTGTTTCTGGACACGGTGCTGCCGTGTCCGTACCCGGTGGTGGCCATCATCGCCGCGACGGCGGCGGTGGTTGTGGTCGTGGTGGTGCACACCGAAGACAAATGATCCCTGGACACCACCCCGGTACCCATCGACTCTCTGCTCGTCATTATCGAGTGCGAGTGAGGGTGAGGATGCTGAAGACCATGATTATGGTGTGTGTGGTGTTGATTCTCCCTGGACATCAGAGCAGCGGCGGTGTTCTCTCGCGTAGTCATCAGAGCGTCTACGGTGAAACTGGTCGGATCCAGGCCCATCGAGACATCCTGAATGGGATCTTGATGAACCTGGTGCGGTTGATGGACCTGATGACCGAGAGCAGTCTGTATAACACTTTGCCCGGGCACCGCGACGGCCGTGGTCGTGGTGGTTTTACTGTCCTGAATCGGACTGTGAAGACCGTACTTGGCTTGCACGGCCATGCAGTGATTCGCAGCGGTGTCGTTCGCCGGTTCGCGTTTCGGTTTGCACAGCGTTGCGTCCAGGGCACTTAGTTTCTTCGTGACGGTGTCCGACGGCGGTTGGATCACGATACTGTTCGACTTGGGATCATCTTGGCTACGTTTCTCCGGCACCAAACCCTGCCGTTTCAAGGCCTCTTCCTTTTCTTTCAGAGCGTCCTTCTTCTTGAAGCGTCTACGACGTCGAAGATAAGACCCGTTATCGAACATGTTGTAGCTGTCCGGGTCGAGGGACCAGTAGCTTCCTTTACCCGGTTTCTTGTCGTCCCTCGGTACCTTCACGAAACACTCGTTCAGGCTGAGATTGTGCCTGATTGAGTTCTGCCAGCCCTGTTTGTTCTCCCGATAATACGGGAACCGTTCCATGATGAACTGATATATACCGTTCAGGGTGATCTTCTTGTCGGGCGCGTGCTGTATCGCCATCGCGATCAGAGCTATGTACGAATACGGCGGCTTTACCATGTCCTTGCCCGGATGGTGGATGTGCTGTTGGGTGATGCCAGAGACCGGGTAACCTGCAGCCGTCGCGTATCCACCGTATCGATACTGTTCGTAGTAACCAGGTGTGGCTCCCACGCCGGGATACGACGGGGTACCCATTCCAACGGGTACGGCCGTCGCGTGACGGTAATAAGCATTTTGTTCCCCAAACAACGTATGCATCTTTCTTGATATTTCAACTTCGGGCCCGACAGAAAGAATCCTCTCGAACAAGACTCAACCAGGCTCAACGCGCCGGTGAATCTTTATTACAGTCCCCGAGTAATCACTGTTATATCGAACTTCAAAATTGTCCAAATACAACGGACATTATTATAGTACGATAATTGCGGGAACACTTGTTCTTTTGGTTTTTCGAATTACAATACGGTACTCGAAAACTTCCCGGACTTATCCGTCGAGTATTTCAATGAATTTTCACTCACTAGATCCGGACCAATCACGATGTACTTCTTCACACAGTTCCCGAATAAAAAAAAAACGACAGGCACGGAGCCAATGGTTTTTCACCGCGGATATATATATATATATATATATATATATATATAACACGACGAAAGTCACTGTACACTGTAGTCCCGTTCGAAAACTCGTCGTCGATCGATTGATCGGGAAGGGCACGATCGATTCCGTCGGCGGGAACGGAGATCGTCGTGGTCGATTCGTTTGCTCGTTCGCGGTTACACGCTGTATATTGTTGACTCTCCGAAATATCTGTGTCTACACCGTGTTGCGAAAAACTGCGAAGTCTCCAACGGAAGACAGACGGCGGCGTGACGCGCGATACGAGGCTGCTGCGATCCGGTGGTCGATGCCAGGCTAACCCGTAAACCCGCGTGTGCACGCGTATTATGATACACAACAGGCCGGAGTTTACTCAACCCCGAGTAAAAACACACTGGGGCCTCGGCCTCACGAGCGACCGAAGTGTTCCGAGTCGGTCTAGCACGGCTGCGCGGCGGCGGTTCGTGTGGCGTGGCGGTTCCCCTTTGAAAAATCCACGGTTAGAGCGCGTCACCGCCTGCCGCCTGTCCGTCCCAGCCAATCCGAGCGGCGAACGGGGATCATGTGACTCCACCTACATGCGCGCCACGACCAATAGCAGTGGGGAACGTAACGAGACGAGCGTGGACGCCTCTGCGGGACGTGTTGCCAACGATCGAACGACGATCCTAACCTAGTCACGCCCTCGCGGGGTCGCCACAGGGCCGACGCAACAAAAGCGAGACAACGAGCGTCGTCGCCCCGCGTGGTGTGAGTGTTCGCGCAAATTTTTACCGTGTGATCCCTCTCGCGCGAACGGCCGTCGGACAACTTTTTCCATGAGATCACGAGATCGAGGGATTTTTCACACGAACACGGAGAACACGACTGGAATATCGGACATCATCGTGGAGTTTCGAGAATATAAAAAGGGGGGATCGACGATGACAAGGAAGTGACGAGGAGGCCGACCACGTGGGTGTTTCCGAATCGATTCGCGTAGCCGCCGGTCACGGTACAAAAGAGAGTGTGCCCGTTTACGGAAATAGTGTGCGAGGGTTCTTCTTGTAGGCAGTGTGGAGCTTTTGGAGTGTTACTGTTTGCTGTTTGGGGTAATGATTGTTTCATTTACACGGTGATTGGTCGAGACGAACACTTGTTCTCGCGGTTTTTTAATAATTCGGAACTATTGTGATTAGGTTATTCGTAATTGTGGTGTGTATTAACCTTTGAAACGCAGACGTTTTTAACCTTGAATTATCGAACTGTCGTAACAATTACGATCTCGAATTTGTGATTCTCAGAAATCGACGCGTTCCCATCAACGTTGTCGACGTGTGTGCTGGTTGTGCTGAATAATTACTGTTTCAATTTTCTCGTTATTCTTCAGTTTAGCTATCGTAAATACTTGTAACGTAGGTCTTTGTTTCAATGAAAATAATATCTTTCTACAGTATACGTGTTTTCTTTCAGTCGTAATTTTTACGAATGATTAGTAACAACGTGAGTCACAGGATAGTTTAGTAATCTAGGGTTTGTGTTCGTACAGCAACGGTGCTTGAGTCCTTCCGGACCGCTATACTTTCCTATATCCATCGCTGAATTTTCCTATTAATCCTGATAAAGAGATCGGTACGCCTCGATGAAAAACGTTCCAAAATACATACATAAAGGAAAAAATGGTGAACAGCGGGATGTAAATAAACTCAGCCGTCGCTACCTGCGTAATTGTCCGAAACATCTATCTTCCGAAAGTCAATACACAAGCCACTCGATACATACTCGTGCAACGGTCGAATAATTTAATCAGTGTCATTTATCTTCCCCGACGCAAGTACATTACAATTTCACACTCTATAAATACAGCACGGTTATTTGCTTTGGCGGACAGTTTTTCAACCCATAATGGAGGCCCCCAATAATGGCGCCACGTCGCGTCAGCAATTAAGAGACAGAAATTATTCGATGAAAGAGAGAGAGAGTGTGAGAGAGAGGGGGGACAGGGGACTGAGAAAACGCGGCGACGTTTTTCGTCGAAGGAATACCTACGGGATAGGTGTGTAATCCGTGGACGAAGAAACCGACGAAACCACGACAGGAAAGGCTCGAGTGGCAGAGTTATATAGATAAGAGGTGGGGGAGGGGGAGGAGACATCGCGTTCTTATAGACGAGGGATTCAATTTGGCGTCTGTTTTTCCAAGGGTTCGACTCCAGCCTTGCGAAAACACTCGAGAGGACACCTCGGCTCCCATCTTGCCGTTTCTCAGCTCCTCACGAAATCCTCCCCCCCCCCCTTCCCCGAACTATTCTATCCAGGTTCTCAAAATATCCTCGAACCGCGCGCGGATGTTCCACTTTTTCGTTTCTGGTTCACCCCGCGGTGAGTGCATGGTTGGGATGTTAGATTCCGATTCGATTCTTTGGAAGATCGATTCCTTTGGGTAACCACGTCACTGTCGTGTATACGAAGGAAAATAGAAAGTGAATGATTATTTTAAAAAATTGGTGCAACATACCCCAACTTTTTAGGTTCGATTGTGTTGCCAACTAAATCAAGGTTTGTCGTAGTGTACGATTGTTTTAAAAATTCTACGAAATTTAAAAGTTACAGAATCAAATGGTCAATTTATTACGTTTGTCAATAATGTTGGCGTAATGATCGAACTGTTGGATGTATGGACAGATGAGCACGTGAACATTTACATTTTCGCGAATGTTATATTTTCAGTAGCAATTTTTCGTTAAGTTTCATGAGATTGTTCAGATCTTTCCGTAAATATTTTGGGGAATGTCGAGGCACTTTTGGCGCAGTTCAAGTTCAATAAGCGGTTCGAAACAATATGCAGAAGCTTTCGAGACACCTGGAACGTTATCTTGTGAAAACAACCGTGGAACGGTGATGACGAACGTGATGAAACAACGTTGTTCCGTAATACGGAACGATACTTTTATACAATCTTCGCTGTTTCTGTTACGAAACAATTATTCCATTGGATCGATAAAAAAATTCTTCCAACTCGCTAATTATTACTTGACGCTACGGTTTTTTTTTGTATCACGTTCAAAACAAAGATGTATGAAGGTCTATCAAGGCCCGACGAAATTAACAGTCGTTGGTTGTTCGCCGTTGAAGGGAAAGGAAAAATCGATTACGCGTCTAATTTTCATTTAAATGAAACGACGTCGCTGTGTAGAATGTTTCTCGATTCCGTTCCCTTCCAACGCAGCCGCCGCTGCTCGGGGCGAAACGCTTTCGAACTTCCGGCCAAAGTTTAATTGTCTTTTGCTTGCGTTCTATCTAAATTCGTCGTTCGCCTGAACCGTCGTTTCCCTGGTTGGCTAATCCATTCGATAAGACAGTCTCGTGTTTGGCGAATTCTTGTTACGATGAATTCAGATGATTTCAGATTCTGATCAGACTATTTGCATTGGTCCAGTATAATATTATAGGGGCCCTTGAAAGCATTAGTAGTGTTATTCGATAAAAAAAAAAAAGGCTGGGTATTTAATGTTTTATCCTCTGTTGCGAATAACAAAACCGAGGTGAGCAATTTACGTAACAATTTTTCCCATTTTCTCGGTTTAATTCTCCGCGATTAATTAACTAGGCGCGCTCGGCGACCTTGCGGCGGAACAAAACGAAACCCACTGGCGTGACTCACCTCCGCCGGTTTATTGTTTGACAAAATCTGATAAGTCGTTCGGTTTCTGCGATATGTATTTACACAGACGCGGGTTTACGTAGTCAGACTGTATCCGATTCGACGGGATCGAGTCGGGCGAGCCGAAGGTTTGCTCTCGATCGGGATCACGCGATTCCGAAACGCGACTAAGTGTGTACGTAAAGGCGATTCCCGTATTTGTTAAACAAATGTTCGACAGTGTTTGTGCACGACGCCACGAAAATTCAGGGGTAAAACCTCATAAATAGAGAATCGACGAATAACGTGTAACGGAGCGATCATAAACTGACTCGTTTGAACATCGAGCGAGGAACAAGATGGCAGACGATATTAATCCCATTTACTACAATTGAAACGTTTCAATCGAGAATTCTTTGTAGTGGAAGCCATCTTGGAATTTCCTTATTTTTTCGACAGTTTCGCGAATAGTCTGAAATTTGATCGAATTGCGAGCAGAGGTTTCGTTCGGCGGAAATAATCGTTCTTTGGCCTCGTTACAATGTCGATACGTCGACAGGCGTCTCTCGTGGAACGTTACAGAAAAATTTTCGGGGGCGTTTCCAAATAAACCGTCGCCTTGACCTATCCCACGGCTTTTTGTCGGCCAGAAACAATAAACCGCGGAATTTCGTGGTTGCGTCAATCGAACGCTGGTAAAAGAAAGTCAGGATTTCCTTTCTGACGCACGCTGTCCGCGGAATCGCCTGGATGAAAAGAAAAAAATGCCCGTTGCGTGGTGCGCCTCGGCTTCTGCAAACAATCGTTGCGTTAAGTGGCGTTCAAAGGCTACCCGGCGGCCCGAAGGCCGGTGAATTGAAATCTCTGGGCTCGTCTGAACGCGCTCCCGTTGCATATTTATACTGTCAGCTTGCGGAAAATTATCATCATTTTATTATCACGTCGATTGTTAACGTTAGACTGTAACTAAATTCTCAATTTTCACCTGCGATTCATATTAAATTTAATACACGGTAGTAGCAATATAGCGAAAACTA